TGCCTAGCTAGTGCAACATTCTGGGCTCAATCCCCAGTATCAAAAAAGAAAAGACAATAAAAAGGGCATCCTTACATATTACCACTTATAAGAGTAGATTCTACATGGATAAAAATCTAAATTTGAAATTTAAAACTATGAAGTTAACAAAGAGAATCAGGTGAGATATATGAAGAAAGGGATAGTGGGGGAATACAATCATAATATTCAATATACATATGTGAGGCCCTGAGTTCAAGCCCTAGGACTAGCACACACACACTCTCACACACTCACACACAAACAAACAAGCAGGATGCAGAAGCAAAAAAAAAAAAAAGAAACAACAAAAGCCACTTAATTTATATTCATAAAATATAAGAAAAACAGAAAATGAAATTTGTTCAGTCTTATTTTTTCCATAAATAGTTCTCAAAATGTGGTATCTGGAATGGTATTAGTAACAGCTTCATCATTATCATTATTGTCATTGTCACCTGAGAACTTGCTGGAAATAAAAATTCCTGGGTCCTAGACCAGAGTTACCAAATCAAAACTCTGGGCAAGGAGCCCAGTATTTGCTATTTTAATAAGCTCTCCTAGTCATTTTGATCTTTGCCAAAGCTAGAAAACCAATAATCTGGATTTAACTATTACTAACATTTTTGTAAATCCTTGATTTTTTAAAAAAATTATGAAATATTTAAGGCCCATAAATATAGAAAATAATACAACAAACACTCATGGACCATCCATGTATCCTGCTAAGAAAATAAAATATTATACAAATACTTAAATTCCTTTTATCTTCCTTTATTTTCCCTCTATTTGATATCTCTCTTTTTTTGGTCCTGGAGTTAGAATTCAAGGACTGGATGCTGTCTCCAAGCTTCTTTTGCTCATGGCTAGTGCTCTACCACTTGAGCCACAGCATCGGTTTTCTGGTGGTTAATTGGAGATAAGAGTCTCATGGACTTTTCTGCCTGGGCTTTGAACACAGATCCTCAGATTTCAGCCTCCTGAGAAGCTAGATGTTAGCCCAATGAGTTCCCTTCCCATAGCTTAGTATGCTCCTTCCCCTTTCCAAAGTTTAACATCTCCTTTCTTAGGCAACACTGGGCCCATTTAGTAAAGGCAGTAAATAATCAGCCTCCAACCCCCTTTACCTTGGGATGGCACTTCTCTGGGGCAGCTACCACTATATAAAGCAACAAGAGCCCCTTAGAGTGACCTTCAGGTCTGGGCAGCTGCAGGACCCTTATCTACTACTTGGGCAGCAGCCATAAATCCTAATCCATCATGATGAAGTCCCTGGCCCTCATGTCCACATCAAGGTCTCCACCTTCTAGCCTCTTCTAGGCTCTCCTAGCCTCAGTAGGTTATATAGGTCACCTCAGACAATAGCGGGCACTTCTTCTCACTTCTCCCTTGTAAGAAGGGGTCTTGCAGGCCCCTTTCCTGGAAATAAACCTTTCTTTGTACCTGGATGTCTGCGTGGTTTTCTGGCAAAGTCTAAAATACTCCAATACTAGGATTATAGGCATGAGCCACCAGCACTTAGGTGGACTTGTATTTTATCACCGTGTTTGTGAAATTTATTTGGGTTCATGCATGTAAACTAATTCACTCTTCTTCAATGTTGTATTCCATTTTATGGCTATCATTTTTATTCACTCTCCATTGGTAGATATTCAGATTTTTCAACTTTTTCTCTATTATAATAGTTCTCAATTAACCTACAAAAAACTGGAGTGGAGATGTGGCTTAAGTGGTAGACCCTCAGTCTTGAATGGAAAAAAGGTAAGGAAGAGAACACTGACTCTAGCCTGGAGCTGGTGGTGCATGCCTGTAATCCTCACTACTCTGGCTGAGATCTGGGGATCAGGGTTCAAAGCTGGCCAATGCAAAAAAATCCTTGAAAGTCTTATTGCCAATTAACCTCCAAAAAGTCATAAGTGTAGCTGTGGCTCAAAGAGGAAGGGTGCTATTTTTTTTTTGGTCGGTCATGGGCCTGAACTCTGGGCCTGGGCACTGTCCCTCAGCTCTTCAGCTCAAGGCTAGCGCTCTACCATTGAGCCACAGCACCAATTCTGGCTTTTTCTGCTTATGTGGTGCTGAGGAATCAAACTCAGGGCCTTATGCATGCAAGGCAAGGACTCTACCACTGAGCCACCTTCCCAGGCCTCAAAGGTATTTTTACACCACATTTTATATTAGCTTTTGAATTTTACCTTTCACATTCACAGTCCCTCGTCTCATGTAGAATAAATACTGATCCAGTCTTACTTTCCTCTTTTACCACTTCTTGGGAATTCTTCATTTCCTATGGATTTGTAGTACAGGCCTGAAACTCACCCATTTTTAACAAATTTGCTTGAAGCCAGCCTTGTATGAGTCTTATGCTGTGTGTGGTTGTGAGTTCAAGGACGTGCTGCCCCTGCTCTCAGGAGTCCTCACCTGTGGAAATACAGCAACATAAATAAACACAGTTAAGAGTGGTTAAGTTCTAGTCATCTGTAGGAGAAAAGATGATCTGGCTTTCTTATGGGATGGAGTCGGGGAAGAAGGTCTTATTGAGATACAAAGATTTTGCAAATGCAGGGGGAAAGGTGAAGGTGGCCTGGGTTAGGCTGGGGTTCAGAGGAATTTCGTGGGTCTCACTAGGGTGAAACATTCAAAGTGCCCTACGGATATAGGGGGTAGAGAGTCCAGTGTGAATGAAAGGCAGCAGGGGAGAGGGAATGCACAGTGCTGGGAGACCAAACCCCCAGGTTTTAGCCCCACCTACTTTGTGCCCCACCCTAAGGTTTTTGCCAGCAGAAAAGGTGTTGGAACTAATGATTGAGAACATTATTTTTCAGACTAATGTTTAGTTTTTAGAGATTACGTCTCACTCTCCAGACACATCAGGGACTCCTTGAGATGGTGTCTAAAGAAACCCTACTTGCTTCCATTTCAGAGATATACATGAATTCCCTTTTGTAGACTCCTGGAATTTGGGGAGGAGGAGGTGGAGGCAGGAAAAACAGGTGGGGGTGGCTGCCTGTTATACAGATTTCTGCTCTAGATGGGCTTGGCCAAGGATCTGAGCTACAGGAACTAGTGTTTAGAGGACAGCTCTCAAGCCTGGGGGAACCGACGAGTCGGGAAGGTCATTGGGAGCCCCTAACCATTCAGGTGGGAAAAACTCGGCCAGACATGTGACCCAGGCAGCCATTTTCTCACACCCTGTCACGTCGCCATCTTCCAGGCAGACAAAGACACCAAACCCCATCTTCGTCTGCTGCAGACACAGTGATCGCTTGGCCATTAAGATTTGGGAGCAAGCATACTTAGTGACAGGCACAGGCCTACAGAGAAGATTGCATCCTACGAGTAGGTTATTTGGCCACACAAGTACATACACGCCTTCCTCTCACCATTTCCCCACCTTCCTTTTCCCCACCTCCGGTTTTTCTTTAACTCTTCCCGCAGACAGAAGGCGGGGCGGGCGTGGGAGCTAGGAAGGGATCGGCAGGCGAGAGCTGTCAATCCGAATTCCCGCCCCTGCGCAGGACGCACAGTGGGCGGAGCCGTACGCCGCAAGACTGGGATCCGGAAGTTGGAGTCTAGCGGCGTGAGCGCACCTCCTCCTCCTCAGTCAGCGTTGGTGAGCTATCCTGTCCTCTCAGATCCACGCCGGAAGTGTAGGTAAGAGACCACTCGGCTCTTTTGTCCTAATGAGCGCTCACTCGGCTAGCGGCACAATAAGAATCGTCGTTTTGAAACGGTCCAGAGATGCCCCCTCCAGCCTGAAATGCAGAGGTAGACAGCCGGTTCCCTTCCCGGGTACCAGGGCCCAGAAGAGAGGTAGAAATGGCACCACACGCGGAGATGCGCCGAACTACATTCGCGCGGGGTGGGGGCGCGTGGACTCATACCCTACCTAGAAAGTTATATGTCCCGGACATACTGTAGCGAGACACAGACCACACTTGTATGGAAAAGAAAAGGTTGATTGCCTTCCACCTCGCAGAACGGAGAGGATCCATTTCGCGTTACTCCTTCCGGTGTGACAGGTATCAGTCTATTCGTTGAAGATGTGGCAACATCGTTCCACACTACTTAGCTGCGTAGACCTGTCCTGGTTTAAGACGCATTGATCCACATCGAGGTAGCTCCTTCCTAAGGATGGGTTTTGTTATTAACGCCCCCCTCCCCCCCAAAATATGTAGGAGCTCCTCTGATGTAGAGGGAGGGCTAGAGCTCTCTCCAAGTCTTCCCCACTCCTGCCTAATATTTAATTGAAGGAAACCTTCAAATCAGTTCTCCCCCAATTAATTAAAGCCAAAGACTTCAGCTTACTGAGGAACCACTCAGATTTGCCGCCTCCTTGGCTAGAGTGAAGTCCCCATTGTGGAAAATTAGACCCAACCCTGACCCCTTTAGGAAGGGCTATTTTACTGGATTTGAAAAGGCCCACAGAACAACTAACAACAGATCTTAGTCTCTGAAGAGACAGTCAGATTTGCCCCTCAAGAAGACCTCCGGGTAGAGTGACTAAGATTTATTCTTTAGAAGCAGACAGATTATACCCTCCGAAGACTTAACACCCTATTAGCCATGGGAGAGCCCTCACTGTGGCAGAGACTCAACTCTGTAAATGAGAAGCAGTAGAATCACTGATTACAATATTGTGAAGTGTTCCTTCCTTATCCAAGGTACAGACACTCAGATTTGTTTCTCCTAACCCAGGATAAAATGACAGACTCCTCTCCTGACATGTAGGAGCAGATCATTTAAATTTATAACTGCATTGCCTTATGTGTCCTCATGCCATACCTCTGTAAAGAACCAGAGGCTCTATTCCTTGTAATGAATGTTAGTGTGCTACTCACTTCAACCCACATAAAAGATTTTGCTAGGTGTGGTAGTGCACAGCATGAATCCCAGCATTTGTGAGGCTGAGGCAGAAGAATCTCAAGTTTGAGGCCAACTTGGGCTACATAACAAGTTCCAGGCTATTTAGTGAGACACTGACTCAGAAAAGAACAAAGAAAAAAGATATACATATCATCCCAGTCCACCATCCACAGAAAGATTCAGAACAGTCTCCTTTCCTCAAGCAAGGTATAGATCCTATTCATTTAAAGCTGTGCAGTTTCTCTATTAGTATGACACAAATGTCACCTCATCACTTGAACAGGCAGAACAGTACCATCCTACAGCCCTCTGTGGCGTAGAAACATAGGATCCCTTCTCTTCTCCTTCCCCTCCCAACAATTGAGATGTGTGGACCTGTGCTTGTCTCCCACACATCAGAGAAGTACAGTTACTGTGCTCTTTTTCTCAGTTCTCCGTATCTCAGAACAGAGAGGGACAGATGTCAAATCCCACCCAGTTGCCAATGCATAGACCTGCAGGCATAGAGTTAACTCTCTCAAAAGATTTTGTATTGACCTTATTGACCTCAATCCACATAGCCATGCAGGTAAAAGACCTTGTTCTAAGGCCTCTTCAGTTAGATTTATGGGATATTCCTACCTCTTCCCAGGGTGGATACAATACACAACTCCTTTCTTGGGAAAAGAGACACTATTATCACACCACCCTTTGAAGAGTCTCCTCTCAGTGGGGAGGGATTGACTACTGATTCCTTATTTTTTGTTGGTCCTGGAGCTTATACTCAAGTCCTGGTGCTGTCCCTGTGATTTTGTGCTCATGGGTAGTGCTCTAAAACTTTGAGCTACAACTCCAGTTTTGGTGATTAAATGGAGGTAAGAGCCTCACAGACTTTCCTGCTTGGGCTAGCTTTGAACCACAATCTGAGTCTCCTGAGTAGCTAGGATTACAGTTATGAGTAACCAGCTCCCAGCTCCCAATTCCTTATTTAGGGTATAACATTGTATGATAGAGGAATAAGGATCAAGCACCCCATTCAGTGCATTGAACCACAGACTACCCAGGAATAGTTCAGAAGCACCTTCTCTTTGGGTGACATGACATTGCCTTTCTTCTATATATCAACTATATCAGGCCCTAGCTCCCGTGTACCCTTCTCCACTTTAGCTAATTTTTAGGACTTCCTCATCATGTTCTTTGACATTTTATTTTGCCTTTAGGAGGTTTATTTATTTGTTGATTGATTTGTGTTGGTCCTGGGCTTGACAGAGCCTGGGCACTGTCTTTGTGGTTTTTTGGCTCAAGGCTAGTGTTCTACCATTCAAGCTACAGCTCCACTTCTAACTTTTTTTTTAATAGTTAGATAAGACTCTCATGGACTCTTTACTGCCTGGGTTGACTTCTAACTGTGATCCTCAGATCTCAGCCTCCTAAGTAGCTAGGATTGCAAGTGTGAGCTTCTGGTGCCTGACTTTTAGGGAGTTTAAAAGGCCTTGGGGTTCCTGAGTTTGTCTTCAAATTTCTTGCTTCTATTCCCACAGGAAGAAAGTAGCATATTTGAGTATACCTGTTTTCAAGCTGATCTGATCATCATGGTGAAGCTCAGACACAGTGAGTTGCTTTTCCCACCCCTTCTACTTTTAATGAATATTTATAGTATAGTATTTCACAAGAACTTTTTTTTTTAACTTTTTGAGATAGAGTCCCACTATTCACCTAGGCTGCCCTTGTATTGTGATTCTTCTGTTACAGCCTCCCAAGTTCTTGGATTATAGGCATGTACCATCCATCCTACTTGGCTCACAATAATGTTTAAAAATTGCTCAATATGTCAGGCTCATGCCTGTAAGCCTCACTACTAAGGAGGCAGAGATCTGAGGATCAAAGGCAGCCTGGGCAGGAAAGTCCATGAGACTCTTATCTCCAGTAAACAACCAGAAAATCAGGAGTGGCACTGTGGCTCAAGCATTGAACTGCTATGCTGAGGAACAGGCCCAGAGTTCAAGCCCCATGAAAAATTGCTCAATTTATTCTGGTCTTTTACGTTGCTGTCCTCATAACTTCCTTGAAAGTTAATGTTTTCCTTATTGGTACTTCCATTTTACAGAGGAGAATTTGAGGCTCAGCAAGACCAAATGATTTGATTTGAGATAAATAGTAGTAAATACTAGGTACTAAGGTAACATAACTTTTTTTTTCTTTTTTCTTTCTTGAACTCAGGTCCTGGGCACTGTCCCTAGTACTTTACCACTTGAAGCACAGCTCCACTTCTGACTTTTTTGCTGATTAACTAGAGATAAGAGTCTCACAGACTTTCCTGTATGAGCTGGCACCAATCCTGGGCTGGCTTCAAACCCCGATCCTTAAGTGTTATTCTCCTAAGTAACTAGGATTACAGATGTTAGACACTGGCACCCAGCTTCTTTGGCTTTCTTTGATTAAGGCTTGTATTCTCCCACTTGGGCCATCCCTACACTTTCAGCTTTTTGGTGGTTTATTGAAGACAAGAATCTTACGAAATTTCCTGCATGGGTTGGCTTTCAACCTTGATCCTTAGATCTCAGCCTCCTGAGTAGCCAGTCATACCGTTTTCCTTTATTGTTGGTACCATACCTTGTACTAGTTAAACTCTAAGGTGCACTAGGTTTGAATTTCATCTCTCCCACTTATAGCTGTGTGTCTGTGGACACACAACTACATTTTCCTTGCCTATAAACAAAGACAAAGGCCAGGCACTGGTGGCTCATGCCTGTAATCCTAGCAACTGTTCAAAGCCAGCCCGGGCAGCAAAGTCAGAGACACTCTTATCTCCAATAAACCACTCAGAGAAGAAGAAGTGGTGCTGTAGCTCAAGTGGTAGAGCGCTCGCCTTGAGCTGAAGAGCTGAGGGACAGCGCCCAGGCCCAGAGTTCAAGCCCCAGGACTGACAAAAACAAAAAACAAAAAAAGACAATTAATTATAGTATCTACATAGTAGTATTAAAAGTATTTATTGACTTTTATTAAGTAGTTATACAAAGGGGTTTCAATTCAAGAAGTCAGGTTATGAGTGCAATGCATCTTGATCAGTGTCATCCCTTCCATTGTTCTCCCCCATTTTAGCCCATCCCATCCTTACCCTTGTTACATAATTCAATATTACATAATATATTGAATAAAATGACTGTATTTGCTCATTCTTCCTCCCTCCATTCATGTGCCACCTTGTATTGTTTCCCCTACCCCGAACATATTTCAGTTTCCCGGTATTCATTTTTTTGTGCTGGTCCTGAGGCTTGAATTCAGAGCCTGGGTGTTGTCCTTGAGTTTTTTTGCTGAAGGTTAGCCCTCTATGAGTTTGAGTCATAGCTCCACTTTAGGCTTTATGGTGGTTTATTGGAGATAAAATTCTCATAGATGGGCTGGGAAGGTGGCTCAGTGGTAGAGCGCTTGCCTTGTATGCATGAGGCTCTGGGTTCGGTTCCTAGGCACCACATAAGCAAAAAGAAAAAAGCTGGAAGTGGTGCTGTGGCTCAAGTGGTAGAGCACTAGCCTTGAGCTGAAGAGCTGAGGGACAGCACCCA